CCGGGGCCAGCCCCCCCCTGCCGCCAGCAACCGCGGACGGGGCCGGCAGCGTCCTGCCCTCCCAGGACAGCACCCGGCTGCTGTGTGCGGCAGCCAGACCGGGTAAAGGAGCAGGGCAAAGAGCTCCAGGCTCCCACTCGCAAACACCGCGGGCCAGCCCCGCAAACAGCGCGGAGGAGGAGGAGGAGGAGTTCTTTATATGACTGAGAACAAATGTGCCGGCTGAACTCATCTCTTCTAGGTAACAGCAGAGCGCTTTTGTGTGTCTTGTGCCTTCCCGTGCTGCGACCGCTGACGCTCGGCTTCCCTCTGTAGCTGTGACAGCGTTTCAGCAGTGGGTTCACCGAGGCAGACGGTTACTTTCCAGGCAGCGATGCTAAGGAGACTGCAGGCAAAGCAGGAAAAATAACACTTTAGTTACAGAAAGGTTTCTCTTTTTTTTTTTTTTAGTGAAGAATAGATTGGAGGATTATTGTGCAATGAATAGCAATAAGCTATATGACTTCTAGAGCTGTTCTAAGGTGCTGAAAAAGAGCCAGTGGCAGCTCCAGATGGAGTCAGAAGACGCAGTTTGCCTAAGGTGCCCAAGCAGCTGGATGCCTCCAGCCATGGGGGCTCAGCATCCCTTACTGGGACATGTTGGAACAAGGCAGTGGCACAGTCACAGCAGTTATACCAATTTTCCTCTCTGTTCCTTCTCACTTCCTCCTCACTTCCTTTAAAAGCTACTGATGTTGTTAATTTTATGTAAGATGTGAAACATAAGAATGTTCTTTTAAAATATTTTTGAAGAAAATTTCTAGAGAGACCTCTTCATCAAATTAACTCAGTACAGGCAAAAAGCCAACACCCGCAGAGAATAGTTTAAGCTGTCTGGGCTCCAGTAAGACCTGCTGTTGCCTATTGATATGACACTTCACAAAATAAACCCAGCAACAGGCCTTGTTAGACCTGTGTGCAGCTATCAGCAGGCAATCCTAATTGGGTTTTAATTAACAGAAGACAAGAGGAGTCAAGAGTCTTGGAGGGAACTGCTGAATGCTGGAGGGTAGAAAGGACATGAGAAATGAAGTCGTTTCAGCAACAGATGCTGAAATATCTCCCATCTTGAGCAGTGGTTTTCTCAAGTAGGATTAAGTAACTCACAAAGAGAGAGGGGAAGGGCACGACAGAGGAATGAAATTATTAAAAGAAAAGCCAAATCTGAACATACTTACCTTTCAAACTGCACAACAGAGGTATTTTCTCCTCAACTATATCTGAATTCTACTGCACATAAAAGTGTTAATTTGTTTGGAGAGTGCCTTCTTGTTGCCTTTTCTTAGTTCCGAACTCAGGGTTGACAGGCAATGGCTTCTTGCAACCCAAACCCACCCTCCTGACACTGGTGGGACTGGGGAGCAATGCCACTGCTGGGTGGTAGCCAGGGCTCGGGGAAGGCCCAGCGTTTTGGGGGAGTTTGGAGGCGCAGCTGCGTTGGTCTGAAGAGCTGTGGGTGGGAATAGGGCTGTCCCTGCCCTGCGCCCCCCACCCTCACGGCTGGTGCTGCCCTGGAAGCGATGCTCACGTACCTTCAGTTAGAGACCGAAACCCACAGAAAGCTGAACCGGACACTTCTATTTCACCGGACACTTACAACCCTTATCCCACCCTGCCCCCCGTGTTTTCATAAGCTATGTGAAAATGTTGGACTTCTTAATAAATCACACTGTGATATTTCACATCTATGAGAGTGATTTATTTAATCATACCTTGTATGCTAGAAATGTAGTCAGTGATTTTCAGAGCTGGAGAAAATGTCTTGGTGAACGGGAAGAGCAGCAAAGAGGAGGAGAGCTTGCAGGCGGGTCAGGGCGCTGGGTTTGCTGCGGTGTGTGTTGGGGCGGACTGGGAGGGATAAGGATAGAGGAGGGGGATTGAGGAAGGGCAGGGGAGTGTAAACACAGGATCACAGCCCCAGCAGTGGGCATGGACGGGATGGTCATGAACCCAGGAGTAAAACCAGAAGTGGGATTCCTGAGAGAAACAGTTTTAAACAGAGATTGCATGGCCTTCTCTCTACTCTGTCATGCCGAAGGTACTTGAGTGTGACTATTTAGCATAATCTCGTTTTAACTAAGAGAAAGAGGGTGTTTAAGAGGTAGAAGGTCCATATCTAGCATGGAGGAACTGCTCCATCATTTAAAATAAAAAACAAAACAAAGAAAAGAAAATGATACACGAGCTTCATCTGCCTGCGGTAGATCACAGAAGAGAAGGACTTCAAGTCAAAGGAAAACTGCTCTGAAAATATTGCTTGTAACACTGAGTGTATAAAATCCACATATTTTAAGTGCAGGTAATCTTCATTTCATATTTCTTTCCCACATACTGTGCCATGACTTCCAGGTTTTTAAGAAGAGGCTAATAAGAGAGGACGCAGTTTGGGAGGGGAGAAGCTCTGTGTCCCAGACAACATGTGAAAAGCTCACAGGTGAGCAGCCGGACCTGGCAGCCTCTTGGGGATGGGCAGTTGTGTGAGGGGTGTGGGGCTGGCAGTGGGCTGAGCCAGGGGTTTTTCTCTCCCACAGCTCCCATCCTGTGTGCTGGTCGTAGCAAAGCATGCGTGGGAAAACAGTCTTGGTGGAAAACTGAAGGAGTTTTGAAACGTGATGGTGAGAGGTATGAGGGCATCACAATGCTGAATGAAGGGAAATGAGATAGTTTGGGGTTTTTTTTGCCATTTATATGTGTCATGCTTGATATAAATGGTTAGTCAGTGTAAATGGTTCTGACCTAGCTGTGATCACCAAGGGTGATGGTGCTGTGGATATTTAGCTGCTGATTCCTCTGATGGACACCTCGATGGACAGCAGACAAGGTGGTCAGCATAGGTTGGCACCCACTAGCCAAGATTTTAATTGTGAGATGTGTACTGCTTGAGGGTGGTGGGCATCCCTCATTGTGCCGGTCTGTCTGTCAGGTGATGTCGTATCCAGGAGCAGGACCACCACCCCAGGACTCCTGCGAGCCATGCTGTTGGGTGGCCCATTCCCAGCAGGGAGCGGAGGTGCTGCCGTGGCTGTATGATGATGGTGGACTGTCCCAGACTGACAGGAAAGGCTTTTCTCCAGGGCATCTGGGTGATGGAGGGGGGGAAATCTGTTCCTGCAGGAGCAGGGTGTGTGCTGAACATGGGAACTGCTGGCAGGGAGACCTGGGCGAAGCAGGAGAGCTCACCTAGGAGTCACTTTAACCCAACCTGCAGGGACGGCTGCTGTTGCTTTTGTGGCTTTAGCCCCTGGCTGCAGAAATGGTGTCTTTGGTCTCCTGAGAAGCAAGCAGAGTGGTATTTCTGAGGGGTGAGTTGCCGGGGAGGAGTGGGAGCAGTCCCTGATGCCTGGATACAAGCACAAAGACAGGGGTGCTCTCATGCTGGCAGCCCAGGCAAGCCCGGCCATGGCAGGCAGAAAAAAAAAGCTGCAGGCTTGGCCTCTTGTAGATAGGAGAAGCTGGCAAGCCTCGTTCCTTTGGGGAAGCAAATGCTGAATGCACTCTTCTTTCCTGAGTTTTGGGCCAAATTCAGCTTTTGTGAATGCCTTGGTAAATCCTGAAGTAGTCCAGTGAGCAAAGCCAAGCTTTCCAGATTTACACTGGTGGGTCTGGGGTGGGTGTTTTTCCTTTCCCAGCTCAGGCAGAGAGCTATGCTCTGTGCCCAGGACAGACAAAGCTTCACAGCCACTCAAGCAGAGGAAAAATTGTTACCTGCATCAGAAATGTGTTTGGCCAAAGAGATCAGTTTTGGGTTGTGTCCTTGTTAGAAAGACAAGTGTGGTGGATGGGGCCCTCCATTAATCTGCACATAGCTGTAGCAGTGATGTCCATTTTCCTCCATTGCTTCTCTGCTGTGTTACCGGAGTCCGGTCAGGTGCCCTGACTCCTCACCTCTTGGTCTTCTCAGAGGTTGTCAGATCCCCTCCTTAATAGCATTAATAACAATAAAAATAGCAAGAGCAAGAGCAATAACGGTTTTCGTGTATCTTGGCTGCCGCAGCTGAGCCGGGGGCGTGCGCAGGGCCGGGTCCCGGGGGTGCGGGCGGCTGGAAGGGGGTGGT